TCATTTAAAAGACATTTTGAAAAGGTACAGAGAAAAGTTACTAATGAGTAAACAGAGTGCATAAGAGTTAAAAATAAGAATACATGAATGTATACTGTTAGAACTTGTGGTTCAGCAATAGATTGGGCATCATTTATCTGCTAAATAGATATTTAGGGCTTACTCAAGATATTTTCAGTGTACTTTTTCAAATACATTCCAATCCAAAAATTATATTTATAAAGTAATCTGCTGTGCTAGGATTTTTGCCTTGAAAACTGAATGTACAACACTGGTTTTAGTGAGAGATGAGGAAACGCCAAGAGGAATTGAACAAACACGCAATAGATGCTCTTATTTGCATGCAAGAAGCATCTATCATTTCCTTTCAACAACCACGATCAGACCTTTCTGTTTCTACATCCAGTGGGAGGCCTACGATGTAGTTTTTTCTCTTCTTTGTAAATATATGTTGTTTCTCATAAAAATACATAATCTCAGTATGCAAAAACAAAGTAATCCACTGATTGTTCCCTTCATTAGTTTTCAAATATTTTATCTGAACCAGAAGGGACCCTCCCAAAAAATGTGATTTATATGACAATGATAGCATCAGACAACAGTCATGATTTATTTAAAGTCCTAATGGCTAAACAAATCTCTAAATTCTCAGTTTTTCTTTCAAGAATGACATTTAATAGTCATGAAAAACATCTGCTATCTTTCTTCTTTGAGATCCTTGAACTATAACAATCAAGGGGCAAGAATCAGCTGAAACACAAAAAGAACAAATATCTCTGAACAACTTTATCACCCCATCTTGACTTGTTCCTTTGGAGACATGAAACCCAACAACATAAATGAACTGGTGTGACTTGTGTTAGCACCCTGTACATTTGGGTGGGAACAAAGATTTCAATTCTCAAAACCTTCTCTAGACTCAGATCCCAATCCAGAAATGATGGGTGGGAACACTATTATCAGAAGTGGCCATGCACAGCCCTTAGAAACATAATCTAAGGAAGCAGAGATCACTCCACAAAGTGCTGCCAGTCAAACTAATTCTCTGGAATACCTTGACTCTGCTCCTCTCTTCTGAGATAGTTTCAACCGATCTAAAGCCAGATCTTTAACCTTCAATTGACAGACATGTTGGTAAAAAGAGTCACTGTAAATCAGAAGTACTAGCTAGAGGCTAATGATACTTAAGTCTTAAAGGACCAAGAATATCATAACTATCCATAACTATACAGAAAATGATATGGTGAAGGCTTTATGAAGCTGATGGAGGGCTAACTAAATGATAGATATTTTCTCTTCAGACTCACCTTGAACCCCAAACTAGATCACAGGATATATGGGGAAAAGAGAAAACTTTTCCAAAGGAATGCTACTTTCCGTATTCTACACTGTCTCCCACCTTTGTAAAAGAATATTTGAGGAAATTCTTAAGTAAAGAAACATTCATTTCAAAACGATTAAAGGATAGAAGTCATCAGTGTTGTAAGCTTCATTCTCCAAGTTAACTTAAAAGAGCTGAAAAATTGTGGCAAAGGCAGAGAGAAGTGGCTGCTATTGCTACTATCTAGGCCCAAAGGATGAAGACAGACAGGTCTCTCAAAGGACTAATTAGTATTTTGTCTATATTCTTACCTTTCCTCCTGCTTGATCACAATCAAAAATTAGCTGAAATCATATAAGCATAATATTAAAATAAATATCTCTTAAATGGCTTCATCCCTGTAAATGGAAAGGAAGCCAGATAGAAGAAACCAAAGGCAAACACATGGTTATGGAAGTGACAATGACTGCACTTATAGTCATGAAAAATGTAATTAGGAAAAAAATACTGGGGGCCTGAGAGATAGCTCAGTAGAACAAGCACCTGCCTGGCAAGGTCCTGAGTTCAATTCCTGGTTTTGAAAAAAAACCTTGAGTTAATGGGAAGATTGTAAGATTATATGAACCAGATTTAGTACACATAAACCTGAACAGTCTCTGTGCTCGAGAATTAAATACCTGATCGCTCTCATTTTCAAGTCTTGGAGAAAAATTGAAAACTGTTGGGGAGGCTGCACAGAACTCCTGGAGTTTTGAGTCAATTTCAGCAAGTTGCTCATGCTCCCTGGCTGCAAACGCGTATCCTTCTCCTGGGATAAGCCAGCCACAGCGATCACCCTAAGAAGAAAGAAGGGTTACCAGTTCATCCCTGAGGATAAAAATATAGACAAAAAAAGAGATTTTTAAATTGTACTTTAAAAATAACTGCATGTCAGAACACAAAAGTTACTCTAGCCTTTTCTTCTCTCTCAGGAAACATACTCAAAAATTCCTAAAGGACATAAAGATACAGTAAGTCTGAGAATTGGGCTCTGGACCTGTCTTTTTCACCCATAAATTATGCTTCCTCCATCCTGAAGGAAGCAACAACCATAAAGCAGGTAGCTTATTTCAACTTTTTTTTTTTAGTAAGGATCTACAGGGTCTCACTACACAGATCAGACTCAAAGTGATCTGCCTAGCACAGGAAAAATTCCGTACATTTTTGTTTCATGACAGTAATCAGCCTCTAGGTAGTAATAAGAAGGACTTTGGGCAAAAACCTACGCAAAAATATGTTCATATTTGTCTTCTCTTGATCCTAGCATCCTGATTCCCTGTTACAGTGACACCGCACAGTGAGCGAGCCTTGGGAGGATTCAGATCTCCACCACACATGGCTGCTCCCTAATCATGGGCATCAAGAAGATAAGCAAATGACCTAAATTCAGCTAGTCAAAGCAAACACCCTGAATTGTGCATAATCAGGAACAGATGTAGAGACACAGAAAAACAGCTCACGGTGCCAGGATAAGCAGAGCCAATGCAGCGCTGGCAGCAGCGAAGGACGCAGCACTGAGCATCTGTTGGGGCAACTGTCCGCTGGCTATGGTGCCGGGAGCACTTCACCAGATTGTTCCCAAATAGTTCCTACATTCACAGTTCTGGCTCCCACAGTATATCCATGGCTTATAAACCTGGTTCTCCAAATGTCCCATTATGTCTGTTAACTACTGAACTCTCCCAACAATCAATTTTCTGTTGTTTTAGCTGAAGTCCACCTGTTATTTGCAACCCATAGCATTGACTGATATAACACTTATTGTTGTTATTTATAACAAAGAAGAACTGCAAAAAGCCTGAAAGTCTAAACCTGGAGGGAAAGTAATATTATTACCTAACTGATTACAATAAGAATTCTGGTCAATTTCTTTAAAAATTAAACATAAAATTGATGTAAATACTGTTATACCCTAAATGAGAAATAAATACAAAAAGTAAAATTATAAAATTGACTAGTAATTAATACCTTTTAGGCTCCTATCTGAATGGAATTTTTTTAAATGCTACTGACAAGAGCATGTCAGATTAAATTCAACAGAAATGTAAATGTTTCATACACTAATGAAATTACAAAAGAAAACTACATATAACAGGGAATAAGTGGTATTTCTTTTCTGGCTGTGTAGCAGCACTTTTGAGGAGTCTTGTCTTCCCAAGATGAAAACAATGAAACACTCTTCACAAGCCTCTTTTACAGCTAAGATTCATGCAGGAAACCTAGTGAGAGATATCCATTCAGTAATATTTTATATGAACTATCTGAAATCTGAGGCAAATCCCATTTTGCTAGCAAGAGTGGCAATAGAGGCAATCTGACCTGGAGGGGCTGAGTTCCCAACATAAAGGAGATCTTTTAAAAATTCTAAGTATGTATCCTAGAGACACCCAAGAGACTACATCTATAAAATTAAACACACCACAATACAGAACCATCAAAGAACAAGGGGAATTAAAATCATTAGTCATTCTAATGCTTTATATCTTGATGTCCCCTTGAGCCCTCTCCATTTCCTGCCTGCGACGCCATGAGCAATTCTCTTCTGCCATGCCCCTCTGTCCTGCCACCCTGACTTCAGCCAGCTGACTAATGGACTGAACCTCTGTATACCGTGAGCCAAAATAAACCTTTCTTCCTTTAAACTGTGGGTGCTGGGTATTGCATTTCAGTGATGAGAAAGTACCCAAGCCAGTCATCATCCTGAGCTGGACAGGCAGTTTCCAGGGATGCAGCAATGGGCTACTTTATAAAGCAAAATGCACATCTGGAAACACAGAGGCTTGAAAGGACACAGAGGATTTGAAAAACAGCAAGAGTTTGTTACTATTTAAGAAAGCGACAATTCCTTCCTCCAACTTTTCCTGAAGTCTTCCTGCTACACTAATCCCCCTCTGAGTCTCTGTTCCAATGCATCACCATCAATTTTTGGTGATAGCTTTGCAGAAGTGCTATATATTTTTGAATTTATGTTTAGTTCACATACTACATAGTAAGAGAACTTACAGAAAGAACACTCAACAAATTGTTTTTAAAACAATAATGATTTTTAAAAAACTGGTGAGAGGGCCACAAAGCTAAGTATCAGAATAGGTGTGACAGAAGCTCAATTTGGAAAACAGTAAAATCATAACAGTTTGGGGATAGTATATCACACAAAGTTCTAGTATGCTGTGGACATGGACAGTGCCCATCATGCTTGTTGGTGACCAGGTGTCACTTGTGAGACTGAGCTACTGCTATTTCCTTGATATCCACCCTGTAGACCTGGAATGAATCATGCCCCATAGGGTGCAGGAGAAGTCTAATTCTAGAGTATGCTGATGGAAATATTTTGCTGCTGTATACAAAAGAATAATTGAAAGACTGCTGTTGTATACCTCTTTTTGTCCTGTGTTTAATTGTTTTCCCTGTTTGGTGGGTTCTTTCCATTCTCATTCATGGAGTTGTGGTCATTTTGGTCCCTCTCCAGAACATCTTTTGGTAGTCTATGTAGGATTGGTTTTGTCTATGGTTAGATTTCTAAATTTCTGTGAAAAACTATGTAACTGTTTGTTCCTATTTTTAAATTTTTTACATTTTTTTCCTCACATTCTCTAAGGATGTAAAGTTTCTGGTGAATTAGATTATGGGGTCACAGAGGAAAGTGATCGATGATGTAGAGTGTGCCTAAGGAGAGTCACCTGGAGAGAAAACATTCTCTCAGGCTTTCACAAAGAGCAAATTGGTCAAGCAGTGGCCGTGACGCATCCACATGGCTGACACTGACCAGGGATCTACAACTGTGATACAGGGTTTCAGGATAAATTCTGAGGGGATTTGACTGACCTTGGCAGATATGAAAGATGAAAGTTATATTTTCATTATATAGATCTTGCTTTATCTTGGTCTTAATCATCCAGCAGAAAAGTATAAAAACGAGGTATAAAAAGTAAAGCTATGTTAATATGCTGATCTGTAAAAGGCTCAGGTCAACAACTTCTGACACTGCCAGTCCTACAGATAGCCCACTACTATTTATGGACTACTGAACTATATTGGTATATTTTGCTGAATTCATGGACCTACAATATTTAAATGGCAATGGAATACCCATCTCTGACAAAACTAAACAAAAAAGGTGATACCAATGAAGGACCAATTTGTATCTGTATGTACAAAATAGTTAAGATATATATACAGCTACTTTCTCTTAATTCAATGAGAAGAAAGATTTGTACTAAAAGTGTTTGGACAGGATGTCATGTCTGCATACTGTACTATGAATAACCACTATGAAGACAACAATGTACCATGTATTAATTACTGAAACTATCCTACTAATCGGTTTTGAAACTGTCTCATTGCTATTTGTTTCTCAATAAAATTAATGAAAAAAAAAGAAAATAAAACAGTAAGACCAGCCCATGTGAGTAAAATGACAAAAAAAAAAAAAAATGAGGATTACATGAAAACATTATGACCAGGAAGAATGGTACGTGTAAGGTCCCCTGTCCATTGTGGCAGATGCTATCCACTGACAAACCTGAGTATGTTTATCCCATACTTACCTCTACTACAAAACTGGAAAGTTAAATACCTGCTCCCTCTCCCAACTTCTACACATCACAAGACAAATGGCTCCATGTCACAGCTGTGCAAGCAACATGTGAACAGAAGTCACAAGGACACAATATCTTCCCAAATGAGATGACAGAGCCTTCAAAAGTGTCCTTTTGCCCTTTCTTCTTCCTATTTGGAAAATGAACCCTTCACCTCCAGATAGAGCAGCAAACAGCACAAACCTAATGAAAAAGGCATTCTAAGCACATGAAATGCAAGGGCAGAAAAACAGGGGCTGCTCACATCTAATTTCTTGTTAGTGAAGGAAAATAAATCCTTACTTATTTAAGACACTATTTATAAAGCTTTCTATTATGTTCATTCACTCACGTTCCCAAGCAATACCCCACTTTATAAGTATCCTGTAAGGAGAGCAAAGAGATGATGGAAGAGAAGAAATACTAGAAGGAGTTGAACCTTCAGAAGAAAAAGTCCTATGAGATGCCAAACCAGGACAAAAATATTTTTGATCCACATTTTTTATTAATTTTATTGAGAAACAAATAGCAATGAGACAGTTTCAAAACAGGTTAGTAAGACAGTTACAATAATTAATACATTGCATATTGTTGTCTTCGTAGTAGTTATTCATAGTACAAGATGCAGATATGATATCCTACCCAGACACTATTAGTACAAATCTTCTCATTGAATTAAAAGAAAGTAGTTATATGTCTTAACTATTTTGTACATGCAGATATATATATACATATATATACATATATATGTATATTTCACTACTAAATGGTCCTTCATTTATATCCCCCTTTTTTGTTTAGTTTTGTCAGAGATGGGTATTTCATTGCCATTTAAATATTGTAGGTATGTGAATTCAGCAAAATAATCCAATATAGTCCAGTAGTCCATAAACTGCTTTTAAAGACGCATATCAATATAGCCTGATACCCCTCCTTCCTGAGCTCCAGGCTTGCAGGCAGAGAGTTCCACTGAGCCACCCCACCTCCACCACCACCACCTTCACCCCACCACCACCACCACCCCAAGGCTGAGGTGGAGATAAGAATAGGAGCCGCTACCTTTTCTGGGGAAGCAGTGGTGCCTTCCTGTCTTTGAGGAAACCTGAAGCCACTGACTCCTGGCGGTTTGTTTTCAGTCCATTTCCAAACAATCGGGGGATAGAAACTCAGCAGCCCTTTGCCTGGGTTCAGGCTGTCATGGATGCACTAGTAGAAAGTGC